ACGCACACGCACACGCTAACAAACAAACAACAAAAAAACACGAAAAAACGGCGTCGCAAGTCTGGGGAGGCGGGAGGCAAGGCGGAGGGGAGAAAGGGGAGGAAGTGGGAAGCGCCAGCTCTTGGGAGAGGCGGACTGGCGCCCGCGTTCCGCCCGGGCACCGGGCCTGCCGTATTGCCAGTGCCGCCTCACGGCGGGAGCATTGGATACGGTAAGTACTTGCTCCTGGCCCGGATCTGCGAGCACCGCGAAAAACGCAACAAACAGAAAAAATCAAAAAAGCTGCTGCACTTTTATGTACACTCTGCGTCCGGGGGCCCTTTCCTCGGTCCCAGGGCCTTACCAAAAACGATCCGCGACGTCGTCGTCGTCGTCGTCGTCGTCGTCGTCGTCGGCACGTCGCCGTCGCCTTCGCCGTCGCCGCGTCGCCGTCGAAGTCGAAGTCATGGGGATTGGGGGGCCGAAAGCTCCCCCCGGCCCGCGTCGTGAAGGGCGGGGCCGTGGCGCGTTCCTCGCAAAGGAGAGGAAGATGGCCAGCGACCTCCCCGCGCTGGGCCGTCGGCGAGGAGAGCCTGGATGCCTTGCCGAGCCTGGCTACCATGATACGCCCGTCATGGACTGCAACACATACCGTGTTTCACCGAACGCGTTCCACTATTCGCAAAGTGCCCGTCCGGGTTGGTCACGTTGCATTCGGGCTCGGCACGTGTTGGTTCGCGTTTCGGTGAACGTATCTCGCCAGACCTGCGCTTTCAATACACGGGTTGAGTTCCGTGTCGACAGGCTACGGGGTGAGTGTTGCGTATCGGGGCAGCCAAGCTACCGAGGTGTGCTTTGCAGTATCCAATGTCCCCACCGTTGTGCCCGGGTAGAAAACGCTGTTGTGCTGCGCAGGTCATGCGACTTAGGACAGAGGGCACTGCAACGAGCTCAAACAGCGCGCCCCGCTGCTGCATGCTGGGGTCAACGCCCGTCGGAGTTCTCTCGCCAGCGGCGTTGTACACTTCTCGCACTCCTCATCTGTTTGGTTCCTTGTCTTTCAGCAGAGCAGTTGTTGCTCACCTCCTCTCCCACCTCCTCCCTCTTCCCTCTTCTCGCTGTTTTCCCGCCCTCCTTCGGTCGGGCCCTCGCCCTGAACAGACCACGTGTGGCTTCGTCCTTCTCCCATGTCCTTCTCCGCCGTCCCCTCTCATGTGCTCTCCTCTCTGGGCCCGTTCGCTTACTCTGCTTGCTCGTGTCGATCTGGTGGTACGGCTGCTCTTTTCGACCTCCCGTGGGCACCAACAAACTCACAGCTACCGCCAGCGTGCGTGAAGGAATCCACTCTGGCGACAGAAAGCCCACAACCTCCTCCTCAGCCTCCTCCTCCTCCTTCCCCTCCTCCTCCTCCTCCTCCTCCTCCTCCTCCTCCTCGCCTCCCGGGGTGCTACCGACGTGCAGCCGTCGCCATTTTGCTGTGCCCCTGGTGGGCACAGCGGAGTGCTCGCTCCCCCGTGCAAATCCTAGTGAGACCTCGCCTGGCACAGGCGCGGCATGGCTCGCGAAGAGAGGGCTGGCTTGATCTGCGAATGGCCCATCATCGGCGCTGTCTGCCTGGAAGGGAAAGCGCAGCGAGGCCTCGCCTCCCTGGGTGCTGCCAAACGTGCCGGTCTGTTTTGCCCCCTGGTGGGTATGGCAGGGCGCTCTCCCGCGCAAGTCCCAGTGAGACCGCGCCTCCCCGTGTGCTGCCCAACGTGCAACCGTATAATTTTTGATGCGCGCCCTTGGGCTGTCCCTCGGAGAACTTCCGCACGCTCGAGAAATGAGCACCGCAGGCTCGTCCACAGCCAATGCAGGAGCACCGCGAGCACTGCGTCAAAGAGGGGCCTCGAAGTGATTGAGGTGAGGTGTCCGCGGCCGTGTGCTGCACCTGGTCCCTGCCAGTTTACCGCTGGTTCGTGTCGTGTCGACGCGGCGGCGACCCCGCCGCGGGGCGTTCAAGGTTGAACGCAGCCAGCGACCCGGAATTGGCCAACATGAAACGATTTGGTCATCGAAAAGCCCCCGATCGTTCAAGGTCGAGCGATCCACGCGGTGTCAGAAACCGACGCCCGAGTCGTCATGACACGAACTTGCCTTGCTTGCCTTTGCCCCCCGTCTTTCCACTGCGAGCTCCACTCTCCGAGGTGTTCCCTTGGGGCCTGAGGGAGCCCCGTCGAGCGCGGGGCACATTCACCGGGGGCGCCAGAAGGCCGCAGTTGCGGTGGCAGCAGCCCTTGTCGGCCGAGCGCCTTTGCCCTTCGGCCCTATTCTTGCCGCCTCGGGACACCGCGGGCTGCAACGGATGCTGCGCGGCGGCACGAGGCGTCCTGCTGTGCCACGCGTCCTTGGGTTTGGCAAGTCGGCATGGCACGCGGGCAGTGCGTGCGGCCGGAAGGGGGGAGGCTCGCCGCTCACCGATCTCATCATTGCACGGAGAGTGGAAAGACCTTGTGATCGGGACGAGGTGGGCACAGGGGGCCCACCGCAAGGGATCCCGCACCAAAGTCGAGGCCGTCATTCGTTTGGTCCCGAAGTGAGGCACCAGCAGGCTGCTGCGATGAACACCCTAGACTGGTCCACAACCCTAGACGGAGGGAGCATCACACGCATCCCGCCAACCATGGGTTCCAGCATCGTACTCGAGAGGTTTATGCCACGCCGCCGATCCCAAAAGGAAAAGGCTACGAGAAGGAAGAGCAGGAAGCGGAAGAGCAGGAAAGAGCAGGAGCATCTCGAATGCCGTGTGGGTCTGACACCCAGAGGGGAGCTGGCACGCGACACTCCCATTTAGTGAGTGTTGGGGGGTATGGCTTGGGGCCGTGCAGGGTCTTTCTGTGGCCCTCGAGGGCTTCCTTGGAGCTCTCTTGGGGCTTCCTGCTGCCTCTTTGGGGCGACCTTGGCGTTCCTTTGGGGGGTCTCGCGGTCGTTTGGGAGGGTCTTTGGGCCATCTGGGGGGGGTCTCGTGGTCGTCTTGGGGCGATCCTGGGCTGTGCTGGAGTTATTTGGGGGCCGTCGTGGCGGCCGGCTGGAAGCCTCAAGGGCAGCTTGAAGCCGGCTGGGGGGCATAATATTGGGCTGCCTGGAGGCTTGTTGAAGGCTTTCTGGACCTCCTCGGAGGCGCCTGGAAGCGATAGTGCGAGGTAACCAGGATCATTGGAAACATGTGTTGTCTCCACGATTTGAAATGTCCGGGCTCCCTGCTGGGCCTATCTGGCCTCTCTTGGAGTCCCTTCGGGACTATGAGTTCTTTACGGAGGCTGGAAGCCTCTTGGGCGTGCTCCGGTTGAGGGAAGCAATTAAGCAACATTCCCCCCCGCCCCCGCAATTCCAAGTTGACAGGTTTCAGGTTTTCGCAAGACCGCTCGGAGGCCCAAAATCGAAAGATCCGAAACCAACATTGCATTTGGGGGGAGGGGGGGCATGAGTGTTGCCTAATTGTTTCCGACACCTGTCTCTTGGGCATCTTGGAGAACATCTTGAGCATTTGTCCCAACCATCCTGTGGTGTTGGGCCCCCGTCTTGAATCCGCAGGGCCGCGCCCCACCTCCTCTACTCTCTTCCTCCGCCTTCTCATTTGTCTACCACCATGTCGGCACACACACACACACCTCACACGTTTCTTGCCTCCACAGGACGCTCCACCGAAGGCCCCAGGATGTGCGTTGCATAGGGTCCCCCCGCTCATTCCAGTACACCCCTCCAACGTGCCGTGGCCTCACAGGGAGTTCCACCAAAAGCCTCCGTGGCATGGTGCCTCACAGCGTCCTCCCGCCCACCTCGGCAAAACCTCACACGCTTCGTGGCTCTATAGGGAGCTCCACCGATGCCTGCAGTGGCGAAGCTCGCATGCGTGCCCAGGCCCATTTCGGGACACTCCTCACACGCTTCGTGGACCCACAGAGAGTTCCACCCACGGCCCCAGTCAGGTCGTCCGTATGGAGGCGCCGCCTGATTTCGGCACACCCTTCACGCGGAGCGTAGCCGCATAGGGAACTCCACATGCGGCCCCAGTGATGACGCCAGCATGGCGACGCCACGCCGCCGCCCATTGCGGCGCACCTCTCACGAGAGGCATGGCCCTGGAGAGAGCTCCACCTACGGCCCACACGAAAGGGTCCGCATGGCGGCGCCGCCCATTTCAGCGCGCTTTTCCTCAGGATCGTGGCCTCATATGCGAGTTCCCCATACGGCCTCATGGCGGCGCCGTCAATTTCGGCACACTGACACACACACACACACACACACACACCTCACAAGGACCGAGACACCATACGGAGCTGCACCTACAGCCCCAGTTGCAGGGTCCGTATAGCGGCACCCCCCATGCCGGCACACCCATCACAAGGTTCGTGGCCCTATGGGGGGCGCCATTGACGGCCCCAGTGGGAGGGCCTGTTTGGCGGCGCCGCTCGCTTTGGCGCACCATTCACGAGGACCGCAGCCGCACATGGGCGCTCCACATGCGGCCGCAGAGGGGAAGTTCGCATGGGCGCCGCCGCCCGTTTCGGCACACCCCATCACAAGAGCCCCACCTCTTGCCGCAGCGGGAGAGCCTGCATGCGCGAATTCCCCCGCACACTTCTGCGCACCCTCACAAGATTCGCGCCCCTCCTGGGGGCTCCACACACGGCCCAAGTTGGAATGTTTGCATGCGTCTCCCCACTCAAGTCAGCACATCCCTCACGTGGGCCGTGCATGGAGAGGTTGTCCACCAATGTTTGATGAACCTGCTAAGGGTTGGGTCTCTCGCCAGGCTAGTTAGAAGCGTCGGAAATTCGATGTGGTGGCTCTCAGGGCATGGAAAGTACGTCGAGGAGCTCGTGACCCCACTCCCCACCCGCCCCCTTTGGAATAAGGGGGTTTGGAACCTTGGGGGATGGGGGACCAGCTCCAGATTTTGGAGGCTCGCCCTCATTCCAGTTCCATTTCATTTCTCCGTTCTCCTCCTCTTTCCCCGCCTCCTCCTCCTCATCGTCCGTAGCCGTTCTTGGCTCAAGTCAGCAGGCCCCGAGTCCGCAGTCACCCGTGCCGTTGTCACGACCATGGCCGCCGCCGATGAAATTGCTACCGTGTCTCCGACAATCACAACTGCGGGGAGTCTGCCAGACTGGTTCCCTCACTCCACCGTGGCGCAGAAATTTCCTGGCTTCGAGCTCGCCGATAGAGAGGCGTCGGAAGGCCGAGGCTTCTACTCAGTTAGCAGGGGCGAAGCTACCTCGCAAGTAGAGGGTCGGATGATTGTGGCGCCATACTTGGAGGATCGCGACGCTGCCAGTGTACTCGCGCTGGCGAAGCGATGCAACGACGGGCAGGCTTTCGTATGGGAAGAGGACTGGACGGACGAGCGGTTGCTCGACTACTGGCGCCCAGCCAAGGACCCGCGTGATCAGAGCCCAGGAGCCACAGGTAATTACACAGGGGTCTTGTACTTCGTCCCCAAGGTCCAGCTTACGAGTGACCCGGTACTCGTGAATCCTGAACTCCAAGCTTCCTTCGCGGGTGTTTACGTGTTCCACCGCAACCACCCCGGGCGCGGCAGTCACATCGCCAACGCGAGCTACATGGCCAAGTCCTCGAGGAGGCACACGTTTGCTCACGGCGAGGGCGGGGATCCAGACGCCACATTCGGTGGGAACGGTCTGGGCGTGTTGTTGTCGAATCTGTCGCTGGCCCACGCGCGCAGAGAGGGCTTTCGGGGGATGCAATTTAACATCGTCGTGGCAACGAACCAGAACGCTGTCAAAGCTTGGACAGACGCGGGGTTCGAGAAAATCGGGAGGCTGCCGAAGGTGTACCGCAGGAGTGTAAAAGCCAGCGCAGTCGATTCCGCTAACGAAGCTGAGGATTTCGTCGACGCGTGGGTCTTCTTCAAGGAGCTGTAGTTAGCTGGGGCATGTACCCGGCTTGACATGTTCCGGGCTAATAGATAGAAGCCCGAATGACACAAGTCACATACACGTACCCATGAATGGTATAATTTCTTTCTGGGGTTGTCCGTTTTCTCATCCGTTGCCGCTTCACCGCAACTTGCCAGAGGCTGTCTGATCGTGACTTCTTCGCAAACGCGTAGACGGTGGCGGACGTTAGGGCGCATGCACGCGGCGCACTGCTCCAGCTCCGCTGTCGCCTGTTTGTTGTTGTCATGTGTTCTTCCCCTCATACCTTCCGAAAAAACGATAGCGTTGAGATGTATTCATACATACATCTATATGATGCGTTCCAAAAAGGACCTTGCTTTCAAGGAACCAAGGAGTTGCGATCTATTCTTTGGCGGAAGGTCGGCGGAAGTGGCGGAAGGTGGCGGAAGTAAAAAACGCATCCCAAGAGATGAAAACGTTCTTGGGCCCAGGGTTTCCGAAATCGCCCATTTGTGCATATGTTCAGTTGCATACACATATGCATAAATCTATACACTTACACATCTGTACTTGCTGTTTGCCAGCGTGGACCCGAATCAGCAACTGCTTACAATCGGGCTGTTCAGGCTGTGTGTTGCAACATGTGTAGTGCAGTGCACGTGGTGCCAGCTGTGTCGTGCAGGCCATGTCGTGCAGGCTGCGCGGTGCCTTTATACGTCACCGACCCTCGCACGAGGCGCCCGCCCGCGGTGCACGACGGGGCGAAGACACGAAGCGCACAGCCAGCGCACGGGGCGCCCAAGAGGCGTGCATGGGCGGCGGCGGAATGAAGACTTGGAGCTCACACAGCCAGTGCTCGAGGCGTCCACGACGCGTCCATGGGCGGCGACGGGGTGAAAGCCTGGAGCTCACAGCCAGTGCTCGAGGCGCCCATGGATGGCGACGCGGCGGGAGCCAAGAATTTCCAGCCAGCGCACGGGGTGCCGCCGAAGCACCCGCGGGCGGCAGCGTCGCGAAGAATTCACGAAACTGGCCTGGAGCAGAATTCACGGAAGCGTACACACACAAGCAAACAAACATTAGTACTTTCGATTGAACGTTCCAGTTCCGACAACAACAACAAACACAACAAAACAACAAAAACAACAACAACAACAACAACAACAACAACAACAACAACAACAACAACAACAACAACAATTACTAGCACGTGGGGACACACCGTTCTCACCAGTGCCAGGGTTTTCATAGGAGGCGGGCAATACCCCCACTTTGTGGGGGGGCCGGTTCAAGCTCTACCAAATTTCCAAACGACTCTTCGCCACCACCCACACCCAGCTTCCCGCCCTATGACGTTCGGACACTTCACTTCGTGGCATGCGGACGACCGTGGCTACTATTCAGGGCCCCGCGGCCGACGACGACGGCGTGCGCGCGCGAAGAAAAAACGAATGTGTCCCGCATGGTATTATTTGACAGGGATGATGGCCCTGGCAGGTGCGCAACCGTTGTTGCAGAAGTTCGAAAAAGTTGCTCGCAAAAGCCCGTTTGACAGAAATGTTTAAAAAGTGTTGGGTTTCCTACGAATCCGCAAGAGCGCGCGGGATGAAATTTTGACATTTTTTTTTTGAAAAACCATTGGTTTTTTGATGTTTTTATGTTAAAATCGCTACGAAAACTAAGGTTTTGGAAGGATTTCGTCTTGCGCGCGCGAATGTCCACTTTACCTTATTTTTTGCAAGGGATTCTTGAAGTTTGGTTATGTTAGAACAAGAAATGTCCACTTTAGCTTGTTTTTTGCAAGGGAAAGCGGGCCGTAACAACACAACCGGATCCGGACCAACCCGTTTTGCCTGAGACTTCCTCACGAAAATGATGAAAATGTGGCTGCGGCCTAGGCGCGGCGAGGGGGCCGCGCACCAGGGGCCCCAACAATAATTATTCTTTAGAAGTAATAATGTTCAACAACAACAACAACAACAATAACAACAACAACACCAACAACACCAACAACAACAACAACAGCAACAACGACAACGACAACGACAACAACAACAACAACAACAACAACAACCTCAACAACAACAACAACAACAGCAACAACAACCACAACAACAACAACCACAACCACAACAACAACAATGACAACAATGGCAACAATGACAACAAAAAGAGCAACAGTAGCAGCAGCGGCAACAGCAACAACAACAAAATCAACAACAAGAAATAGTTTAAGACTGTTCGCTTTTACTCTTGCATTCTGTATACCCCGACCTTCAATACCCGCTGACTTCGTCTTCGATCGCGCCCCCCTTCAGGGGGGGGAATACCTTCCCTGTCGGTCACTGACTGAAGTGCGAGGTACTCTCGAGCGAGAGCGCCGTTCCTGAGTTCGGGGGCCTCTCTGGCGGGGGGCTCTCGAAATACAGATTGACAAATATCTAACGGGAGCCCTTGTCGCCGTGTCTGGACCTCCACCAACTTGCTTGAATCATGAGAAAATTTCGAGCGAGAGCGCGACTCTTGAGTTCGGGGGCTTCTCTGGCCAGGGCCTCTGGGAATAGACCTTGGAGGGAGTATCGAACGAGAGCCCTTGTCGTCGTAGTTGGGCCTCCACCGCTTTGATCGAATCACGAGAGCGTCTCGAGCGAGAGCGCCGTTCCTGAGTTCGGGGGGCTTCCTGCTGGCCATGGGCTCCCAGAGTACACCGTGAGGCAGTATCGAGCAGGAGAATATCGAGGAATATCGAGAATATCGAGGAGAATATCGAGGAATATCGAGAAAGATCGAGCAGGAGAGTATCGAGGAATATCGAGAGTACCGTGGCCTCCGCCAACTTGATTGAATATCGAGGAGTTCTCGAGCGAGAGCGCTGTTTCTGAGTTCGGGGGCCTGTCTGGCCAGGGTGTCCTGGGGTAAACTGTGAAGAAGTATCGAGCGGGAGCCGTTGTCGTTGCAGCCGGGCCCCCAAGGGCACACATCTACATTCAAGCCCACACTCGAGCGGGACCCTCGTTTTCAGAGGAACTGCAGCCGGCGTCGAGGCGAGAGCGCGCGGAACCGTTTCCAGATTTCAACAAGAAATTCTCTTTTGAAAAGAGTATCCAACAACAACAACAACAACAGCAGCAGCAGCAGCAGCAACAACAACAACAACAATCATATTAAGACTGTTCGCTCTTATCTGCTCGAGTGTCCGTTAACGCGTAGTTCCCGAACCCTCGAGACCCGCCCTCTTCGTCTTCGACCGTACCCCTTTTGGGGGGTATACCTTTCTTCCCTGCAGGCCGGGCCCCGGCAAGCGGCGGGGCGGCCGCGGACCGTCGGCCTGGCCAGCGGCAGCGCTGATCGGCGGCAACCCGACCCTAAGAGGGACGGACTGGGGACCGACCACGACGACGACGACGACGACGACGACGTCGACGACGACGGCGACGACGACGAGGACGACGACGACGACGACGACGACGACGACGACGACGACGACGAGCGAAAGCGAGAGGGAGAGAGAGAACGACAGCAGCACGAACTGCACGAAGTAGGCCACGAAGGGCGACAGCGGGGACACGAAGGGAATGCGTATGGGACCACGAAGAGCGCGAACGAGCGGGGGCCACGAAGGGCAGATAATGCGGGGCCACAGAAGGCAACGACGGGGCCACTGAGGGCAGCAACTGGGCCACGTAGGACAGCGAGGGGGCCACGACGAGCACGAACGAGCGGGGGCCACGAAGGGCATACATATATGGTGCCACGAAGGGCAGCGAGGGGGCCGCGAAGGGCTGCAACGGGGCCACGAAGGGCAGCGAAGGGGCCACGAATGGGTGCAACGGGGCCACGAAGGGCAGCGATAGGGCCACGAGGGACTGCAATGGAGCCACGAAGGGCAGCGAGGGGGCCACGGAGGGGTGCAACGGGGCCACGAAGGGCAGCGAGGGGGCCACGAGGGGCTGCAATGGGGCCACGAAAAGCAGCGAGGGGGCCACGAAGGGCTGCAACGGGGCCACGAAGGACAGCGAGAGGCCACGAAGGGCTGCAACGGGGCCAACGAAGGGCAGCGAAATCCCGATTCCTAAGTAATCTGCGAGGGAATCCTAAGCGTGAGAGCGACTCCTGGGTGCCTGAGTGTCGGGAGCGCGGCGCTTGAGCAAATTGCTGGAAATTCCAACGCAAGGACGGATTTTTTGGTAATTGCAAGCAAGTCTCCAGCGACAGCGCGACTTCAGAGCGCCGAAAGAGCGATTCCGGAATACATTGTAAGGAAGTCCCAAGCGAAAGTGCGATTCCTGAATAAAATGCGAGGAGGTCTCAGGCGGGAGCGGGGGTCCTGGCTAAATGGTGAGGAAGTCTCAGGCGGGAGCCGTTGTTGTTGTAACCCGGGGGCCAGGAGCACAGTTTGAGAGTTGTCAGAGGCCAATAACAGTCCGCACCGCAGAAACTCACTTCAGCCACGCGCCCGGGGACAATGAATGACCGTTCGGCCCCCTCACTCTGATGTTTGGATGTATAGGTAGCTAGTTCTGCACATATGGTCCAGGGTGTGCGATGCCCACGTCCTTCCGCCCCAGCACCGCCAGACTTTTCCTGGAAACCAAGGCCGCTTGCGCTGCAAGGTTGCAGCCCTCCCGTTCCCCCGAGCAACCACAGCACTACCCCGCAATCGCGAGGAGCGGGGCGGAGGCACCACACGCACGCGCCCCCTCCACCACACCACACCACTGAGGAGGGGCGGCAGCGGGAGGGCATCACGTCATGGGGGGAACCCATCGGATGGACAGAGCCTAAGTGTTGGATTATACAAGTATACGCACCTGTATATATAATGTGTGCATACGCACCCGCTCCAAAACAAGAGGATTGCAGCCAACCTATCTTTAGGGAGGGAAATACGAGCCTGGCACAAGTGGAATGCATGCGTAAGCCCTCCCCATGGTGAGGCGCTTTCACGCATTCCCTACACGGAATAGCATTGCAAGTTTTGATCATATATATGTACACATACATATACATATACATATACATATACATAAACATATACATATACATATACATATATACATATATACATATATACATATACATATACGTATACGTATACGTATACGTATACATACATATCTATACACACGGCTGCGAGCGTTGGATTGGCGCTTCGCGCCATGCACCTTGGTATTTGAAGCGTGGCATGCAGCGGAAAGGCAGGAAGGTAAAGCATAGCAGTTAGCGATGAGTTCTGCTTGCATGTTCCGCCATCGTCGTGAGAACCGTGTTATCCGTCATTTGTCCCCCATTGCTCGTTTCCTTTGTCCGCATTCTCGCCCTACCCTTCGAATACTTCCCTAGTCTCCTCGGCTCTTGTTGTGGAGACTCCTCCTTGGAGAGCCTCTTGGGGGTCTCAC